AAAAAAAATAATTTATTACATGATGTAACCATTTACAGTATAACTTTTTTTTTTCTTTGCCGCCTGCTTTGGCATTTCTTCATTAAAAACAACAACAACAACATATTGATCAGGAGACTTGAAAACTGGCAAAGCCCCAGAGTCTCTACACCTCTAAGGGACCCATCGCTGAGCACATCCAGGTCACTTGGAAAACCCTGAAGGGTGCAGGAGTTCAGGGAGACTGTTTCAGATCTGCCTACGAGCATTGCCCAGAAGTTCATAATAATAATAATACTAATAATGGCCACAGTAGTAGCGAGTCCACACTGGTTGTACTGTGCTTAATGGTTTTCAAAGCACATGCATCCAGTCACCCAAAGCCAAACCTGGGAGATGCTTGCTCTAAAGGACCATCTATCCACACTGCCAGCCTCAAATACTAAAATATGCTTCTGAGCTTTGAATGACCCCGAAAGGCCTCTTTATGGCCTCTAACTTCGGTCAAGTCACATTGCCTCTTTGAGCCTCAATTTCACCGTCTGTAAAATGGAGACCAAGCCCACGCAGCTAAGGCGGCCACAGGAAAACGCTGCGCAGCAGGGTACGGAAGCACTTTTTCAGGTGTAAGGTCCCTGACAACAGACCGTAGTTATCGATGTTTGGGGTTGTTGTTATTATGTATTGTTTGGCTGCTCGCCCGGGCCTCCCTCGGATTATGGAGCGCTCAGCTCCCGCTTCCTTGGCGGGTCTGCGCGCGGCCTTCACTCTCAGCCAGGGCTTGTGCCGTAGCCACGCGCAGCTAGCGTGCGTAACTCCCAGCCGCTACCCGCCCGCAGCGCTTTTCAATTTACGAAGCGCTTTCAAGCATTTGCTGTGTCCCGCGGTCCTCACGCAGCTCGGTGTGATTCCCAATTAAGATTGCTAGCACGGTGAGGTTGGCGGCCCGCAAGACTGGAGCCCTGCAGCGCCTGGGCAGGGCGCCTCCCACCCCCCTTCCCCCTTGCGCCTCGCAAAGTCTGCCTCGATCCCTCCTCGTGCTTTGCGGACCAGGAGCTCCTCCGCCAGTGTTCGGGTTGAGGGGAGATGTCTAATTTTCTCCGCTGCTCAGGCTCGGCCGGCGGCAGCTTCCCCGGAGGCAGAGGCCGGAGACTACCTTTTCCTGGCAAACACCGACGAAACGTGAGTGGAGGGTCGGCCTGGCCAGGATGGAGCTCCGGCGGCCGCAGAGTCGCAGGATCCCCGCGCGGTGGGACCTCTGCAGGCCTCGGAGGAGGTCTGGCCTCTGTGCGATGCTCGGTGCGGCGCTCCCACGCTTGCCACTTTCTGGGTCAGCAAAAGCTCCCCACTCCGGGCTGCCCTCAGACGCCGCCCCTCTAGGGGCGCAGCCCCTCGGGATCCGGGGATCCAGACTGGGCTCTCAGAGGAAAAGGGAGATCTTGTGGGAGCCTTTCTCAGACCTTCTCGAACGAACTCAACCTGTCCCTTTCCTAGCGCGGAGGACTGGCGAGTGGGCGCGGATTCTCTGCGGCCCGGAAGCCACTTATTTTCTGAAATGGAACTCATTCCTAAGCTCCCCGGTTTGGCCCAGCTCTACCGAGATACGCCTTCGCGTCAATGAGCCCCTCAAACCTAGTTGCTTGGAATTAGAGGAAGGTTGGGAGAGCCAAGGCCAACAGGCCAGGGGTTGGAGTTAAACACACACACACACACACACACACACACACACACACACACACACGAGACATTTGGCAGCCTGTCATCCCAAATTTGCTGCCCAGAGCCCAAGAATCATCGTGGGCTGAGCCTGAATCCTTGGGGCCGATTTCAGTGCAGGTACAGCTGTTCGCCCCCCTTCCCAGCCATTCCTCCCGCTATAATTTACCCCTGTAAGTGTGCACGTCGTCCCCAACTGTACCGAAGGCCAGCGCTGAGATTCACTACGGGCCCCAAAGGATTGAGAAAGACGAAAAGGTACCCCCCCCAACATTGGGTTCAGCTGCAGCTCCGCTGGGAAATCAGGCCCCAAGGAAACCGACAGAGAACAGGGCACGCCAGGGGCGCAGAGAGTGAGTGGACTAAGGTCCCCTCCGTCAAGGTGGACAGGGAGCAGGACTGACTGTTTCTCCCATTTTTTTTTTTTTTTAAGGCAGGGGTGGGAGTGGAGAAGGAAAAGGAAACTGAGAAAGTAATACCGCCTGTTTCCAACAGGTCCCGCGTCCGCGGCCAGGGGCCCAGGTAAAGGTGCCGGTCTTGGGTCTCCCAAGTGCGTTGGGAAACCTCCCCAAGCCCGGCTGGACCCGCAGGCTGACTCCGACTCCACGAATCAGATCACAAGGCGCTGGTGGCAGGGCCAGCCGCGGGGGAGGTCAGAGGGAAACTGCCACAACCCGGGGCAAACTGAATTCGTTTGAGTCATTTTCCCCAGGCGTCTGGAGCCAGCCCGGCAGCGCTGGCCCTGGCGGGGAGCGGAGAGGGGACGCGAAGGGAGCAGGCGCCGCCGGGCCTACTCGAAAGAAAATCCCCAGTCCTGTCAACTCCAGAGCTGCAAGGGTGGAAGACAAACCTACCCGCCCTGGGCCCCAGTCACAAGTATCTGACATTTTCCCAGAGGGAAGTAATCGACCCTCTCCACCCACCCCACCCCCGCTGGGGAAACCTCTCGTTGTGTCGATCTCTGCGGAGAGGAAGGGCAGAGACTCTGGCATTATCGGAAATGATCTTTCTACAAGGAAAATGCATGCGTGATTAATTATGAGGTTAAAATGGAATTTTTAAACATGCCAAAAAGGAACAAAATGATTGCAGGAACCACTTAGAAGGTAGTTGGACTCGGGGACAAGGGTGTGCATCTCCCGAGGGCCTGTGCCTTTCCCTTTGCGCTTTGCTGTGTCCACAAACAGGAATTGGTTGGGTAAAGCCCAAGTCGCGACTGTCCACCCCGCTGCCTGCTGGGCCGAGCGGCCTGCAGACCCCTGGCCAAGGACTTTGGGCTACAAAGGCCTACGGCTCTTGAGGCTGGAAAAGGTCACGGCCTGGGAGGAGGGCGGATCGGCCTTTCCGCGCCGGGTAAAATTGAAAGTAGCTAGGGCCTGGGTTTGGCTTTTCCCTGCTCCGGCGGCCGGCCGCCGGCCCCAAGGCCTCAGAGCCTCCAATGTGGCATTAACTCTTCCTTGCTCGACGCGGACCGGCGGGAAGGGAGTGCAGCGGTGAGCATTTTGCTCTGGCCAGTCCTTGATAGTCTGGGGAGTCTGCACGGGGCCTGGGGGAGAGGGGGGAGGGTTGTGTTCATCTGTAAAAGGTAAATAATAAATAACCCTCTCCCCACTCATTCTCTGCTTCCGCCTCAGGCTTCTGTGTGGATCAGATGACACCGTGTCACAGAGAGAGTGGAATCGCTCTGGAACAAGGTAGAGGGCCATTTGCTCCCTGCCTGGGTCAAAGCTCAGTTGACCCTCCCAGGGGGTCCCCTCATTATAGCCTTGTTGCCCCTAGTCGCTTTAGAATTTCAGCTTCTTGCTAGCCTATTCTCCAAACGAAATGAAGACAGGGTCACTTACAGAAATGCTCGGAAAGTCGAAAGCAGAGAGGACATGGGCAGGTGCAGAAGTCAGCAGGTTAGGAGGGGATTGAAGCTGGGTGCAGGTTCAGTTTTGAACGATTTCCAGACTCAGAAACCAGTCCCACAGAAAAAAAAAATAATAATAATAAAAGGGAATCCTAGGCATTTGCTCCCGATTTAGTGGGATTCATCTGTGACTTCTGCAAAATCTCCTAAATCGCCATTCCCTGAACTACATGGGTTTAAGCACTTTCTGAGGGGCTGGAAACACGGCCGCTTCCTCGAGGGGCGAGGCATCCTGGGTCCAGGACCGCAAAGTGGTTGGGAAAATGAGCCCCACACATTTTCATGGTACTGGATTCCCCAAAGCCAGACAGAGAGAGGCTCAGAGAAAACACGGCGTCCAAGAGGGCATGTTAAACTAAAAGTTTATAAATTAAAGGAAAAAAAAAAGATAAAGCGAATAGAGCTTCCAAACTTCACAAATCTTTTTAAAGTTAATATTCTAGATGAGTGCACAGTGCCCTTAAGGAGGCAAAAAGCGACGAGGTTGACAGGATCGTCTGTCTTCGGGGCAGGGACAGGGATGACAGAATCCTGGGTCAGAACGCAAGAATCTCGGAGGATGGTGGGTAGGGACAGAGGGCCGGGTGGCTGAACAGCGAGGGATGCCATGGAAAGGCTGGTCAGGGATATTCACATTGAATACAAAAATAACCGTTATTTGAATACAAACAACTGAAAAGTGCTACAAGTTTTAACCTCCTTTAAAAAAATAAAAAGAAATACAGGAAAGTTTCTGTGAAGGGCTGCTGGGTTTGCTGTCTCCTGGTTTGGGGTTCCCAGGAAGCTCCCCAGTTGGTGGCGGCCCTGGACCTCGCAGGGGAAAGATTCCGGGGGGGTCTATGCCCTGCCCTGTGCTCAGAGGCTCCCGTCTTTACATTCAGCACCCAATAGGGCATCCCCACCCGAGCTGTGACATGGGGAGGGGTGGGGCAGAGGGCAGGAAAACCAAACCTTTCACGGTTCAAATCAACCCCATGGCTTGGGGCTCCTTGGGGCTGCCAGGGTTCTGCACCTCTTTGATACAAATGCAATTTCCAAAAAAAATAGATATGTAGATACACATAGATTGGTAGCATGGATACCATGAACTATTGTGGCCTAGCGCACGAGGCTCCCGGCTAGCCTGAAATTCTGGGGATTCAGGCTAAGTGATCTCCAGGAGTTCTTTCTGCTCCAGGGAAACGTGGTCTCCTGGCAGGTACAATCCACATCCAACTTTGTTGTGATAATAAATAAAGTCCCAGAGCTTCCAGGCGGGCGACAGGGGAGCAAGGCCCCTAGGCCATAGGGTGCCTCTGTTCGAATTAGAAAAAGGCGCCCTCTCTGGACAGACTCAGTCCCGCTGCCAGGGCGCACTCCTGGAAGTCTGAGCCCAGGCTGGATTTCATCCTCCACTTGCCCCCTCCGCGGGGCGCCCTTGTGCAGAGCACAACCTGCACAGCCGTCCGCGGCCGTCCGGAACTGGGGCGCAGGGATCATTTGCTGCCTCGCCCCAGGCCGGCTCACTGGGTGCCCGCGGCGGCTGCACACGTGGAGAGTGCCCAGCCGGGGAGGCAGTAGTAAGGGTAATAGTAGGAGGGCTGCAGCGGCAGCAGCGAGGGTGGCCGCAGCACCTCGCCGGGCAAGTACTGTCTCTGGTCGTCGCGTACGAGCACTTTCACCGCCACCTTCTTGGCGGCGGGCGCTGACGCCAGCAGGTCGGCGGCCATCTGCCGGCGCTTGGTCTTGTAGCGACGGTTCTGGAACCAGATCTTCACTTGCGTCTCGGTGAGCTTCAGCGACGCGGCCAGGTCGGCGCGCTCCGGCCCGGACAGGTAGCGCTGGTGGTTGAAGCGGCGCTCCAGCTCGAAGACCTGCGCGTGGGAGAAGGCGGCCCGCGAGCGTTTCTTGCGCGGCTTGGGCGCCGCGGGCTCCTCCTCCTCCTCCGCGCCGCCCGCCGGTCCGCCGCCACCGCCGCCGCCGCCGCACAGCGCCGGGACGCGTGCGCTTCCGGGGCCCACAGCGTCGTCCTCGGCCCTCGGGCTGCGGTCGCCTGCGGATCCCAGGGGGAACAGAAACAACAGACCGTCAGCGCCGCAGAGAAGCGAGGTCGGGCCTCGACCGTGGGGGTGGGGTGGGGTACCGAAGTACACTTTGATCCCCGAAGAACGCTTGGGGAGGGTGTGTAAGCCGCGGGTCCCCGGCAATCAGTCTCGGAACCCTGCCCCATAGTTTCTCGCATTTAGGCCTGTCCTGCGAGGGAAACGCACTCAGCCGCCTCATCCACGCTGCGTGGCCAACATCCAGCTCCCTGCCTTCTCTGGGGCCCAGGCTCCCCTCGGGGTCGTGGGGCACTGGGGCCTGAGCACCTCCTCCGTTCTCGGCGCTGAGCCCTAGGGTTCTAGACTACTCCCCTCCCTGGGTTCCCCGGCCTCCCCGCACTCACGCTTACACACACAGTCGCAGCACACAGGCGTCCACTGCACACAAGGGGATGGTGGGGGGCCCGAATCCCCGGGACAGAAGTATTCGGGACCTAACCCACCCACCCACCTACCCCCAAGCACCCGGAATTCTGCGGCGGCCGTGGCAACAGGCTGCTCCAAAGCCTTGGTGGGCTTCTCTCTCTCTCTCTCTTATTGCAAGCAAATGAGGGGAGGGCTAGGGACCGAGGGTGAAGAGAGGGAGGTGCCCCCGCTTGGAGTCCCTGAACCCCAATCCGACGCCAGCTCCTCAGCTTCCTCCTGGATCTCCACACAGTCCCCTAACAGAGAGGTCCAGAGCTCCGGCCTCTGGCAAACACTATTTACTTGGAGCCAGCGTGAGGCCTACAGCGGGATCCGGCGCCAGGCATAGGAACAGGGGTCTTTCCGACCAAATGACCTGCCAGCCCTAGCTGAGGCTGTCCCTCTCCCTGCTACCTTTGGGGTGACCCACACCAAGCCCTTCTGTCTTCAGCTAGCTGCAGGGTTTGTGGCCAAGGTCTTCGCTCCTCCGCCCTTCCCAGCTCTCCTGACCCTGGGGTCTGGGAGAGTTAAATAAGCCCCCCACCCCACCCCCCAAAGCCCAGGCTGGGCGGATGCACGACCTCGGTACCACTTAGGGGTCGCCCTCACCACCTATCCTTGAGCTGAGGGCCGGGCCCTGGGCGTTTCTGCTTTATGGGCCAGGGGCCAGGGCACTGGCTACCCGAGGTCTCTGGGCCCCTGCTCTTCCCTGCCGCTGATTCGGGGGATCTGGACCCAGACACGGCCGAAGCACTGGCGACGCACTTAAAGCCAGGGCGCGGCGTTTTTTTCCTAGCCCAGGCTAGGGCACATTTGTCCCTGGACCTCTCAGGCCTCACCGCAGGACGCAGAGCCCTGCGGAGTTTCTCGGTTCTCTCTCGGGCTCAGTTCCCGGAGGATCAGAGCAGTCCGCGCCAGCGCCAATAGCTTCGGTCCCCGACCAGCCACGGGGCCCCAGAGCGCAGGGTGCACACAGCAGGCCCACCCCCCCCGGGGGGGTTGGCCCCCCTCGCCCGACCCCCCCCGCGCCGGCCCCCCCCGCTCCGCCCGGCCCGGCCCCCTTCCCCGCGAAGCCCAGGCAGACCTGAGACGCTGGCCGACATCTCGCTGTCGCTCCGGCCTGCGGCTTCCTCCTCCAGGTCCTTGGCGGCGGGCAGCTCGCAGACCGGCTGGCCGAGGCCCAGCGTCCCCCCTGCGCGGCTGGCCGCGCTGGCCCCCGGCGCGTCCGCACAGCGCCGCCCGCCCTCGTTCTCCTCGCTCAGCGCCGAGTCCGAGTCCCAAGCAACCAGGCTCTCCGCGGTCCGCCCTGCAGCCGTTCTGGTCCCCGCCGGCGACGCCAGCAGAGAGTCCTCCGCGCCCCCCAGAGCGCCCGCGTCTGTCTCCCCGAAGAGTCGCCAGCAGCAGACAGCGGGAGCCTCAGCCACTGGCACCGCGGTGCCCCCGGGCACCGGGCGCCCCTCTGGCGCGGGCAGCCCGCCGCGCTCCTCTTTCTTGTTGAGGATTGCCTGGATGGAGAAGGGCGTCAAGGTGTTGGCGCCGCGCACAGCCATCTGCGCCGCGGGCCGGAGCGGCCGGCCGGCCGGGCGGCTGGGGCGCGGGGCAGCTCCG